TTCATGATGCTTCTGTGAACTAAAGTTCCCTTATGAAAGACTGAAAAGTCACATCAATGCTAAAGATATTACAAGGATGACTGGTTGACTGAGAGAATGTGGTGATTGTATAGTCAGGATGTTGTGGATCCAGAACCAAACTACATTGGGCTACCTTGAGTCCCCCTAATAGCCCTTTATTGCCCACCTTTGTGAGCTAGCACCCCTTTGGCTAACAGGTAAAGCCTTTGGAATGTACCAGGTTAAGAGACCTGTAGCTTAACCACTACAAGAGCTAAGAATGTCACTATATCATCTGAGAACTATTATAGCCTAGAGTTCCACATAATAGATGTTCAGACCAACATACTAAGGCAATGCCTTGATCTATGGTTTTCTTTTGTTCTGTGACTGTAAAAGTTCATGTAACATTGGAACTGCCTAAATCTATGTTCTCAGGCCATGGCCACTCAAATTTGACTCAAAATAACCTGTTACTCCCTTTGAGAGGAGATCTGGGGGACACAATGAGCTTAAGCTGGAGAATGATTTGAATTTACTCAGTGTATTTCCAGGACAGAAGACCAGCAGAAACACAATGCCAAACCGAATGTTTTATGGTTATACAAATGTGTTGCTGCATTTCTTTCTTCCCTCCTTTTAGCTGTTCTTCCATCCCAAATATAACTTAGATGTTTTTTCTACATCATGTGCTTGAGAAAAAAAGTACATAAGACAATACTATCTACTATCTGTAGGGTGCCTAGTATAGCATGCACAAGCCCCTAAGTCTGATCATCGGTACCAAATAAACCAGACTTGGTGCATCCCTTTAATAAAGCATTAGAGAGGTAGAGAATCTTTTTTTTTTAAGATTTATTTATTATGTATATAGTGTTCTGTCTGCCTGTCTGTTTGCAGGTCAGAAGAGGATGCTGGGATCTTATCACAGATGGCTGTGAGCCACCATGTGATTGCCAGGAATTGTTCTCAGGACCTCCAGAAGAGCAGCCAGTGCTTCCAACTGCTAAGCCATCTCTCCAGCCCCAAGATAAGAGGGTCTTAAATTCAAGGTCACCTTTGACTACCTAGTAAATCCCAGGCCGGCCTGGGCTACATGAGACCCTGTCATGAAAACAAAACAAAACAAAACAACAACAACAAAAAAACTAAAAGCTCTAGGGACTGGAGAGATGGCTCTGTAAGAACACTATTTTGTCAATACAATCTAGAATCACCTATTATGTGCTGTGATGTCCCCACAGTGATGCCTATAAACTGTAAGATGAATGAACTCTTTTTTCATAAGCTGCTTTAGTCAGGGTATGTGGTAGCTTGAATGAGAATGATCCCCTAGGCTTATGTATTTGAGTGTTTGGTTTCCAGTTGGTAAAACTGTTTGGGAAAGGTTAGGAGGTGTGGCCTTGTTGGAGGAGGCGTGTCATTTCGGAGAGTGTTGAGATTTCAAAAGCCCAAGCCAGGCCCAGTGTCTCTGTCTCTTTCTCTCTCCTTGCCTACAACTTGGGGGTTGGATGTGAGCTCTCAGCTCCCACCGTAACTATGGACTAACCCTCTGAAACTATAAGTAAGCTCCCAGTTAAAAGTTTTCTCCTGTAAGTTGCCTTGGTCAATGTGTTTCATCATAGCAATTGAACAGTAACTAACACAGAAGTTGGTACCAGAAGTGGGGTATTTCTGTTACAGGCCTGAACATCTGTTTGTAGGAGAAATAGAGAAGCTACTCTTCTTCCAAGTCTTCATTCCCACTTCCATCTATGCCACTCCCAGCTCCACCCCAGAAGTCCCTCTTATCCCAACTTAAGACTGGAGTTAGAACAATGCAAAAAAGATACAGAACATTTCATATTCCAGTACCCCCAAGGCTCAACCACACAAGGTCCTTCCCAAGCTAATGTACCTACTTGTGAGTTCCCTTAAGGGGTGGAATTGTGAATGTTCTACTTATTAGTTTTCAAGTAAGAAGCCTTAAAAAAGCTTACACCTTTTCTAGACGATCCCTTTGGAGTATCAAATCAATTGTATCAATGATTGGGTCTTCAGGTTAATACTTGGGTAAATTAATGTCAATACTGGGTATTCTTTTCTCTGGGAAGAAAGGATGGTGATTGGATTGACTGATCAACATCTGGGAGAGAACCTAGCTGGATCTAGAGTCCTGGAAGTCAATGCTAAATACCCCAGTCAGGATCCCCAGGTGGGATAGTAACAACAGAGTGTCCTGGGAACATACTAGAAATCTGAGGAACCTTATTATTAGGGAAATAAAAATCAGTTCCTGATCTCAGAATTTTTTGTTTGTTTTTGTTTTTGAGACAGGGTTTCTCTATATTGTTTTGGAGGCTGTCCTGGAACTCACTCTGTAGACCAGGCTGGCCTTGAACTCACAGAGATCAGCCTGCCTCCGCCTCCCAAGTGCTGGGATTAAAGGCATGTGCCACCAACACCCAGTTTTGATCTCAGAATATTAACAAGGCTCTATTAATGCTAAATGAGGGAGAGATGAAGGTCCCCCTGAACTTAAAGGACCAAATGAGAAAAAAACTCTGGATGAAATCTGGAGGATTCCTTTGGTAACAAGATGTTAAAATTACATTTTGTGACCAACAGTTGGCCAGACATTTCTAAAAAGTTACTAAAGATGGAAAGCTGGAAGGGTCGAGAACTTAAAGAGCATACTTGAAGGCATGAGAAAAAGCAGAAAAAGAACGCTAAGATCATGCTCTCTTCCATGGACCAAATGCCCCAGAAAGAGGAGCAAGGCTTAGGATCCCAGTAACTCCTTCATCATGCTTTTCAGGGAGTGAGGCCCCAGGGAGGCTTACCACAGACCAGGAATGGAGAAAGAAGGAGAGGAGAAAACAAATGTTTCAGTGTGGAAAGGTGAACCATTCTAAGAAGGAATGCCCAGAATGAAGAAAGAGTGAATACCCTCATAAATTTTAATGAAGATTTGAGGACAGGGATCAAAGGCTCTATTTTTCTACTGAGACCTAATGAGAGCCTTTAAAGATAGTTCCTAGAGAGGAAGAAATTAAATTTCTTGTTGATTCAGGAGCATTCCATTCCTCCCTATTTAAATATCTTCCAAGGATGTACCTTCCCCCAGAAAAACTCTCCTCCACTTTTTGAGAAAAACCTCAATCAAATTTCAGGAAAAGGGCCGGGCGTTGGTGGCGCATGCCTTTAATCCCAGAACTTGGGAAGTAAAGGCAGGCAGATCTCTGTGAGTTCAAGGCCAGCCTGGTCTACAGAGCGAGTTCCAGGGCAGCCTCCTAACAATACAGAGAAAACCTGTCTCGAAAAACAAAAACAAAACACCAAACCTACTGGGGAGAGATTTGATGCCCAGCTCATAATTCAGGATGAAGTCAAGATCTCCCTCGATTTGATGATTTCCTGGGTTGAAAATCAAATCAAACCTAATGTTTGGGACCAAGAAAGAAATCAATGTGACTTGCAGGGCCCTCCCACCAATCAGCTAAAACACTCTATACAAGTAGTTAAAGGATGCACTATCCTATTCCCTTAGAGGGAAGGCTAGGACTTAGGCTTACCACTGAGCTCACAAAAGACAGACTATCTTAAAGCCTGTATGACTTCCTTCAGCACCCCAATTCTACCAGTCAAGAAGTAAAATGGTTCATATTGAATACCCCAAGATCTTAGAGCAATTAATCAGATTGTTAAAAGTAAACACCCAGTGGTCCCCAACATATACACTCCCCTCAGAAAGAACCACCATCACCCCAGAACGAAATGACAGACTCTAGATATCCCTCCCTGGGGAACAGAATGGGGATTGGGTGGGGGGTCTTGGGGGTGAGGGAGAGGGAGCTGGGACTGACATGTGAAAATTAAAAAAAATAAAAACTAAAAAAAGAACCACCATCATATATTTAAAAGATGCCTTTTGGGCCAGGTGGTGGTGGTGTATGCCTTTAATCCCAGCACTTAAGAGGCAGAGGCGGGCAGATCTCTGTGAGTTCAAGGCCATCCTCGGTTACATAAGGAGCTCCAAGACAGCCAGGGCTGTAACACCGAAAAAACCTTGTCTTGAAAAACAAAAAAGAAGGGGGGCTGGTAGTGGGGCAGGGGAGGAGGGGAGGGAGAAGGAGGAGAGGTAGGAGAAGGAAGGGGAGGAGGGGAGGGAGAGGGAGCTGGGATCAACATGTGAAGCAAGCATGTTTCTAATTTAAATGTAAAATGTATATATTGAAAAAAAAAGAAAAAAAGTAAAACAAAAATGTCATTTGGGCTTGCACCCCTGTAACTGATGGCAGAGACCCTTTTGCCTCTGAACGGGAAGACCCCCATTCTTGGAGAAAGCAACAATACTATTAATGAGCTTTGGTGATTCTCCTGACCTTTTTTGGTCAGATACTTGAACAAATTTTGGAGAAATTCAGTCTCCCTACTCAGATATGCCTACTTCAATATGTGGATGGTCCTCAGCGATCTGCAGGGACTACCACCACCCCACTATTCACTTCCTTGGCAGGCAAGGGTTGTGGGCACCAAAAAGTATATAATTTGCAGAGAATGAGGCTAGACACTTGGGGCATGTAGTCAGTCAAAGCCAAGGCGAGAACACGAGAGAGCTAGTTGGGACCGTATCTCGTGCTCTTCACACTCTCAGTGGAGTGTGGTGCCATACAGCTCGCCTGCATACAACAGTAAAGTCCACACAGAGAACTTTATTTTCCGGGGTGAATTCTCCCATGCTTACCTTCAATTTTAATATGACTAGCAATCCCTTAATTTATCTTGCTTGCTGGTATCATTTACTTAGTTGGTTTTCTGTTTTGTTTTGGATAGGGTCTCAAATTTGCTATGTAGCTAAGGAAAACCTTGACTTTATCCTCCTGCCTCCCTGTCTGGAGTGCTGAAGTTAAAGGTGTACCAAAATGCCCAGTTTTTACAGTGCTGGGATCAAACCAAGGATTTTGTACATGGTAGGCAAGCTCTGTACTGAGTCACACTGAATCCCTACAGATTGATAATTGATTTTCAGTCTTTTAATTGGCTTCATAAAACCAAAGGAAACTGGGCCTAAGATCTCCTTAGCCATTGCACACAACACCCATGGCTTATTCATGATCTTCCAGTACAGAAGAACAGTATAAATAAACACCAACAAGAACCTCTCGCTGTCTGTACTGACACCGGGGCACACAGCACGGTGAGTGTGCAGGCTGGACTCAGGCAGCCCTGCTGCCAACGGGGGTCCAACCAGGCTTCACTGAGAAATAGTGTATCGAGTTGGAGAAAACCACAGCTTGCTCAACTTCCAAAACAATAGTCGATTCAGAGCCCGCTTGCTCTCAGAGAGCCAAGTGGAGGTACCAAATCCCACAGGATAACCCCAGTAGATAGTGAAAAAAGACAATGCAACCACCATCCCCCCAAAAAATAAAAAAAATTTACACAAGTGTGCTGACAATCTTTCAGGGGGGGGAAAAACAGGAGTTACAGTTAAAACAAAAAATAAAATCTGAAGTGCTTTTTAGAGACATGATTTATGTAGCTCTGGCTGTTCTGAAACCTCAAACTCCCTGAGCTCTGCCTGTCTCTGTGGCTCAAGTGCTTAGAAAACATTTAAAAACCAAACAACACAAAACAAACAAGGACAGCACTTCTTTAAAAAGTCAGTAATGAGGAGACCTGGGGTCAGCAGTCAGGCTGTGTTGGCAGAAGAGAACGGAACCATTTCAAAAGTGGAAACACCATATTCGCTCACTATCTGTAACTATTCAGTGGAGATGGAAAAACTAAATTACAGCCACCAGAAGAATCCCCAGCAGCTTTACTCTTTGTGGCTGTCCTGGTTGTCACTGTCAGACCGGCCCTGAGCCCTGGTTACCCACAGCTGTCACTCTGTGTTGATGTCTCTGCAACCCCCACTCCTTGCTGCCCCCCAAGCCTTCAGTCCCCCCTACACCTAGAGAACCTATATTTAGTGCAGCCACTGGCAGTCACCTCAGTCCCCAGACTATCCACATACTTGCCATTCCTGGCCATATCTTGTCCTTAGCACCATCGAGATTCTCAAAGGTAACACCCCAGATCTCTGGGTTTCTCTTTTATGACCACCAATGAAGCATTATGTGGTATCTTGAAACCTTTCATCAGCTGCTGTTTAGTGTTGAAACTTAGCCCTCCCGTAAAAACCTGAGCTTGACCTAATGCTAAGGTAGCCTGCTGTGCTGAGTCGGTCAGGACCCTGGACATGGGGAGTGGGGTGGGTGGAGACAGTAGTCAAATGGGCCCCAGCTTCCTAACATGCAAGCCTGTTAGTAAAAGTATATTTAATTTTCATTATGCCATCCTACCTAATACAAAACCAAGTTTCTAAATTGTTTTCCACATTTATCACATTAAAAATGTCTTTCTTGGAAGATCTTTTTGATATGAATTAAGTATCTTTCAGATCCGTCATTCGACTGTGGTTTCTCTGCAACACGAGTTACATGATGTTGAGCATGGGGTGACACCCCACTGCCAGCTTTACCACTTTCTTGGCATTTGTAGGGTTTCTCCCCAGCTGGGATGTCCTGATACTCCATGGATTGTGAGGAAGTGCTGAAAGCTTTCCCACATTCATTACATCCCCGGGATTTTTCATCACTTCGAATCGTCCACTGCAGAACAAGTTTTGCACTGTGGCTGAAGGCCCTGCCATGTCTCTCTCCGGTGGACAGATGGCTCGAGTCATAAACAAAATCTGGGCCACACTCAAATTCCTGTGGGTTCTCTCCCATGTGAGTCCGTTGATGCTGAGTGAGGGCTGATCTCCGGCTGAAGGCCTTCCCACAGAGACTGCATTCGTAAGGCTTCTCCCCAGTGTGAACACGCTGGTGCAGGGTGAGCTGGGAGCTCTGGATGAAGGCCTTCCCACACTCGGTGCACTGATAGGGCTTCTCCCCCGTGTGTACTCTGCGGTGCTGCATCAGAGTGGAGCTGCGGCTGAAGGCCTTGCCGCACTCGCTGCAAACGTAGGGCTTCTCCCCGGTGTGGATCCTCACGTGCTCCGTAAGGTGAGAGTTGAAGCCAAAGGCCCTGCCGCATTCCCTACAAACGTAGGGCTTCTCTCCGGTGTGCACCCTGTGGTGGAGAAACAGGCTGGAGCTCTGGCTGAAGGCTTTCCCACACTGGCTGCACTTGTGGGGCTTCTCCCCGGTGTGAATCCTCTGGTGCTGGATGAGGCTTGCATTTCGACTGAACGCCTTTCCACACCAGCTGCACCCGTGGGGCTTCTCCCCGGTGTGAATCCTCTGGTGCTGGGTTAACTGAGGGCTCTGGCTGAAGGCCTTCCCACACTCATTGCACTTGTAAGGTTTCTCTCCTGTGTGGATTATGCGATGCTGAATAAGACTTGAACTTCTACTGAAGGCCTTCCCGCATTCATTACACCCAAAAGGCTTTTCTCCAGTGTGAATTCGCTGATGCAGACGGAGATAGGAATTGAGCCCAAAAGTTTTCCCACATTCATCACACTTGAATGGTTTATTCCCGGTGTGAATTCGCTGGTGGAGAATAAGATTTGAGCTGTGAGTAAAGGCCCGCCCACACGGACCGCACTCATAAGGCTTTTCCCCGGTGTGACTTCTGCGATGCCGACTTAGGTCTGAATTATATTTAAATGTTTTATTGCATATGTCACATTTAAAAACTCTCTGTCCTGTTTTACTTTTTTGAACTGTAAAGACACTTTGGCTTGGATTCAAGTGTCTATGAAATGCCGGAGTCTGGGCATTTTCTGGGAGTTGTTCCCTACATACTGGAGAACCCGCTCCAGCAACTTTCTCCAAACTCTGAGTAGAACTTCCTTGGTTCCCTTCTTCCTGACCTTCATGGTCCCAGGCTTCCTGGGATTCAGGGGTTTGTGAATTAGCGCTTAGGAGTTTCTGTGATATTAATTCTGGTGTTTCTACTTCTTCAGAATATTTCTGGTTTAAAATAGATAACTCCTTCTTGGGCTCAATCTCAGAATCTGTTAAACAAAACCACAAATAAATTACTAGAGGTAACCCCTTGTCAGCAGAAATCACAATTTTTCTGATGTTTCCATAAGCTCCTATGCCCCAAGTGTGAAGACACACACCTTTAATCCTGTCACTTGGGAGGCAGAGGCAGGAGGATCTCTGTGACTTCAAGGCTGGCCTGATCTACATAGTGAGTTCCAGGACAGCCAGAGCTACATAGAACCCTGTCTCAAGTAAATTAAAATAAAGCTATTATGCAAAAGTCAGACAATTCAGTAGAAAAATGTGACAGAATCCAGAAATAAAGATGGCCAACAAACAGAATGAAGACAATAGCATTCATTAGTCACCAAACAAATTGCCAGTGTTAAATTAGCAAATTAAGTTATTCAACAAATACAAGTTCAAGCATGCTCTAAATAAGGAAAGCAACAGGAAGACTAACACAGTCTCTGGTCTCAGAAAGCTTGTGTTCAAATCAGGAAGACAGATAATGAAGTGATTGGTTTTTTTGGAGGGGATTTTTGAACCAGAGTTTTGCTATACAGCCTATGATAGCAAGAAATTCATGATCCTGTCACTGAACGCTGGTATTAAGTTATGTGCCACCATAGTTGAGTCAGCAAGTACATTTTAAAAAAGGAATGGATAGATCACGTAACACGGAAATGCATCACAGGCTCCTGTTCCGTCTATATGGTCAGAAAATGCCAAGAGGAAGACTGTATCTGGAGCAAATAGAGGAACCAGCCAGCAGTGATAGATGCTGACACAATGCTGGAATGTGAGAAAGAGGGTATTGAGTCCAAGAATGAAAGAGTTCTCACCATGACTAGAGCAAGAAGTGGGTAACAGAGACAGCAAGGCACAGGAGGCGCCACCCAGAGGCTGAAGACCCTGGACTCAAGGACACATTACACATCTTTGGTCCCCAAACTACTCTTTAAGAATTTATCCAAGGATCAGAATCTGGCTTCTGCAAGCATCTCATGAATGCACCTGTACATATGCACACACATAAGAAGTAAAATAAATCTTCTTAAGAAGGAATTTATCCCACGTGAGCATGTGTCAAACGAAGGAGCACGGCAGTAGCTGCCATGCTTTTCACAACTGTGGGGAGATGAGAAAGGACACATGTTCAAACCCAGATGACTGTCTAAACCCACTTGTACTCATATAACAGTCTTTCTACATAGCAACGGAAGAACACATAATGAAGCAAAGTCTATGGTTTGTTATAAAAATGAGTAAGTTCCAAAATTTGATATACAGAATAAATCAACTTTTACTGAGAAAAAAGCACATGAATGTGTTATTTCTTCCTTAAATATTTAGTGCAAATTGATGAAGCCATCTGGGCTTGGCAATTTCTCTGAGGAAAAGTTTTCAATTACTGAGTCAAGACTGAAAACTGGGTTCCATGGCACTCATATGGAGTCCCAGAACTTGAGAGATGCAGGCAGGAGGACCAATACTTCAAGGTTATTCTTGGTTACAAAGCATGTCTGAGCCCACAAGCCACTGTACCAAAGAGGAGGGCCTGCCTGATGGCTTAGTGGGTAAAGGTGCTTGCCACCATGCCTGAAAGCTTGAGTTTGGTCCCTGAAGCACACATATGGAAGGAAAGAAGCAACTGCAGAGAGCTGACTCCCACATACACACTGTGGCACAACCCACCCACCCCTGCAACCCACAGCTGACTCCCACATACACACTGTGGCACAACCTACCCACCCCTGCAACCCACAGCCGACTCCCACATACACACTGTGGCACAACCCACCCACCCCTGCAACCCACAGCTGACTCCCACATACACACTGTGGCACAACCCACCCACCCCTGCAACCCACTAACATAATAAATACAAAACCTTAACAGACAGAGCAGAAAGAAGACTGGCAGTAAATTGAGATTGGGTTTTGCTTACACAACTCAGCATATTCCCAATTCAAAGCACTCTTCCTGCCTCAGCCTCCTGAGGGTAAGATTATATGCACAGATCACTATTCTCAGAAAAATAAGAGAAGTTAACCTAATGGTTTTTCATTAGGTTATATGTTGTCTTTCCCTGCATGGACGCATGCATCACCTTTGCACTTGGTGTCCTGAGAGGTCAGGAGAGGGTTCCAGATTCCCTGGGATTGGAGTTACTGGTGGTTATGAGCTACCTGAAGTGGGTGCTGGGAATTGAACTTGGGTCCTCTGCAAGAGTAGCAAGTGCTCCTAACTGATAAACCATCTCTCCAGACCCCCAAAATATTTTCTAACATTTATTTATTGTGTGTGTAGGTCAAGAAGACAAATTATGAATCGTTTTCTCCTTCAGTCATGTGGGCCGTGTGGAACAAACTCAGGTCCTCAGCATGGCCAGCGTGTGCTTTCCCTAGTGATCCCATTCCTTAGGCCTGCAAAGATTTGTTTTGTTTTTTAAGACAGGGTTTCTCAGCCGGGCGTTGGTGGCGCACGCCTTTAATCCCAGCACTCGGGAGGCAGAGGCAGGCGGATCTCTGTGAGTTCGAGGCCAGCCTGGTCTACAAAGTGAGTTCCAGGACAGCCTCCAAAGCTACAGAGAAACCCTGTCTCGAAAAAAACCAAAAAAAAAAAAAAAAAAAAAAAAGACAGGGTTTCTCTGTAGCTTTGGAGGCTGTCCTCGAACTCGCTCTGTAGATCAGGCTGGCCTCGAACTCACAGAGATCTGCCTGCCTCTGCCTCCCGAGTGCTGGGATTAAAGACATGTGCCACCAATGCCTGGCCAAAGATTTATTGAAAACAATAATTTTAAAAAGCAGTGCTGTTTTCTGGTTTTTGCCACAGGTCCAGATGGCCAATTCTGGTTACTGCAACAAGAGCATCATACTGGACAATGAGGACAATTTCAATGGTAATGACTGAGAGTGGAGGACAAAAACACGGCTAGGTTATTTGGGAAATGTCTAGAAGGAAAGTCAAAGTACTAAGATTCTCCCCTTTTAGGAAACAACCATGGCCAATCATAAACGAGTACGACTGTGAGTTCATATATTGGACACCTGAACACTCCAGGTACTGATGTATGCCCCTGGGACAGTGGGGTTGCAGTGTGATCCAGACCCTTTCCTCACTGCCATGAGGGAACTTAAGGCCCTAAAGACCCCATTGTCTCCCTCATTCATTGTTCACTGTCAAATGGAAGCTAATTATCATTGACAGCTGGAGGTGTCCTCCTAACTATAATCCTACCTTACGTTATAAGAGAAATGATAAACGACATTTCAATCACTGCTCCGAAAGAAGCTTCAGAAGCAAGTAAGCAAACATACAAACAAGACAGAGCCTACAGAGTGGACAAAAATCTTTCAAAAGTTGGGTGGTGGTGGCAACACCTTTATCCCAGAACTTGGGAGACAGAGGCAAATGGATCTCCAGTTGGAGGCCAGCCTGGTCAAAAGATTGAGTTCCAAGACAGCCAGGACTGTTACACAGAGAAACCCTATCTTGAAAAAAAAATCTTTAAAACTATACATCAGACATCAGCTTAGTATCCAGAATGTGTAAAATTTGTAAAAATTAAACAATAAAACCCCTGAAACAATCCACATGTTAAATGAGTTAATGAACTGAATAGACAGTTCTTAGAACAAATAGAAAAGTATCAGTTATGGTGGTCAGATCTAATGTAGCATTAAGAGATGGAGGCAGAAGCCGGGCGTTGGTGGTGCACGCCTTTAATCCCGGAACTCGGGAGGCAGAGGCAGGTGGATCTCTGTGAGTTCGAGGCCAGCCTGGTCTACAGAGTGAGTTCCAGGACAGCTTCCAAAGCCACAGAGAAACCCTGTCTCAAAAAACCAAAAAAAAAAAAAAAGAGAGATGGAGGCAGCTACATGATTTTCATGTCAAACTGACCAACACGAAACTCTCTCAAAACAAAATACAACACAAACAAAAGGCAAATACAAATGGCTAATATTTGAGATGTTCAACATCCTCAGAGAAATGTAGACTGGATGTGCTTTGAAATTCCACCTCACTCCAGAACAGCGATCATCAAGAAAACACATAAATAATGCTGGTGAGAATTCAGAGAAAAACAACCCTTATACACTACTAGAGGGAATATATAAATTGGTGAATTCAGTATGGAAATCAGTACAGAGCCTCCTCAAAAACACCAAGGATCTCTTTAAGTATGAGCAAGTTCTAGGATAGCCAGCACTGTCTCAAAAAACAAAACAAAGCCATCAAAAACAGATATACCATAAGACTCAGTTATACCACTCTTGATCATATTCACAGTATTGTCACGGTTTTCTCAAAAGGCAGGAATGGAACCAGACACGATCTAACAGATGAGTGGATAAAGAAAATGTGGACATATACATAATGGAATTTAATTTAGCTGTAAGGAAAATGGAGGGAACTAGAAATCACTGTGTTTAGTAAAATAAGCCAGACACATGGTGGCTCCCTCCATGTGATGCATATACACAAACGCAGACAAAACATTCATACAAATAAATCTAAGGAAATCCATTTAGTAGATCTGGGAATGTTGTATGATTATCTATCACACACATGTGCCTGTTCACTGTTTGCTCCAACCTCACCTGTCTTAGGGCATGTTTCTGAAGCATGGATTTTTTTCCTGTTGACATGTCAGCCTTTTAAGCTTCTAGAAGAGTGAGGTTGTTGTAGATGGTTAGGACCACCTTGGGTCAAGAATCCCAGAGTGGTATTTAGCTCTTATGTCTAGTTACTTGCTTCCTAAAAGATGACATCATGAGACCCTTAACTTGAAGACGTTTAGGTTGTAATTGGTCCCTTTGTCTCATCCTATTCACAACTGAGAGGTTGGTTAAGATGTGATCTTGCAGGGGCTGGAGAGATGGCTCAGAGGTTAAGAGCACTGGCTGCTCTTCCAGAGGTCCTGAGTTTGATTCCCAGCAACCACATGGTGGCTCACACCATCTGTAATGAGATCTAGTATCCTCTTCTGGCCTGCAGTCATACATGCAGACAGAGCACT